GCGGAAAACGATTACACTTGGAACTAGAAATGAGCCATCTCTTGTTGAAGTACACATGCCGTTTCATGAAAGGACGTCTCTGAGTTGCGCTAGTGCGCTCACTAGAGTGTCTGTTGTTGTTCCTAATGTTTCCAGATGGTGATAACGGCCTAGTTTACAGTGATATCCGCAAGGATCAAAGTTTATTTGTGAACCTTCCTTACTATATTGTAAGAGACAGTAAGATCCAATTACCGTCCTTGCTAACACTTTGGGTCACAGAGTGTTCGTTCTCAGAGCAAATACCAACCTCGTTGACTTCTAGTTCACTATCCTTACCCTGTTTCATTTGGTACAGGATGACGTGTCACCCTGACATCATGGGGACGGTGCCATTTCTACCGGGAGACCTCATCCGACTTCACCGTATCAATCTGATTTTCCCCCAATTTGAGGTAGAAAGACTTACTCCCTACTGACTCCCAGAACGAAGTCAACGTGCGTTTGTTGACTCTGTTGAACAAACGTCGTATAGCCTTGCTTTAAAACTCCAGGGAGACAGATGGTAAAACGAACTTATTGTCCCATCGTATTCCCAGCTAGAACCTGGTAGCAAGACTATCTTACAGACCTGCTGATACAAGTAATGCCATCATCACAAGTTGCTGTCGCAGAAGGAACTGACCAATCAATGGCTGCAGAGTGAATGAGTTTATTGCACATAGCAATTCTCACCTGGAATGGCGCCCCTGATCCTAGTGCCGTAAGGCATAATGGCACTTGGCGCCGCGGTGATTGACTTTATGAGTTTAAACGAGAAAAACCATTCCAGTTCGATTCCCACTTCCTTTACTAGGTGACCTTTTACGCAATATCGGAGATAACAAAGTCTTTCTCGACCCTGTGACTTGTTACAAGGGTTTTGCAATCCCTCTTCACGAGGACAGCCAAGAGTTAACAGCATTCTCCACACCCTACAGGTCATTATCACTTCCATCCCGTAAAGGCGTTGGATTACGATCAGAACACCTATCACGTTCTCATTAGACTCATGACCAACATATTTCGAGGTCTTATAGGAAAAGCCTTTAAGGGGTTGATACTTAGAAGAGCGTAGATCGTCATGTCCGAAGACTGGACACACGAAAAGACTTGATAAAGGACTTGCAAGCTTGAAGAAGCAAATTTAAAGATCAACTGTCCTAAATGTCAATTTTTCAGAACAGAAATTAAGTTGTCTGTATCTTGGTCACGTAAGTCACTCCTATAGGGGTTACGACTGACCAAAGTAAAGTCAGCTGCAGTATTAAATTTTTCCAACTTCACCAAAACTGCAGATGCTGTAAGATCCTTTGTGGCGTAGCAGGTTTTTATAGATTTTTCATTGGCCAATTTTTTCTCCATTGCTGCTCCCTCTAATCTGAGTTGCTTAAAGAAAGATGCCCTTTTGTTTGGACCTTCCGTCAAGAAACGAGCATTCTAAGCTCTAAAAAAAAAGCTGAAACATCTGCTCCAATTCTTAAATTCCCAGTTTTTCTAAAGCCCATCTACTGACAACTGATGCTAGTTCAAGTTTGGCATAGGTGCCGTACTAGCTCTGAAGACTGATAGACAGAAGAACAACGCAGTTGACATTTGCTAGCCGAGTCCCTCCCTTACGAGAGTGAACGTAAGATATACCGCAACGGAGCAAGAAGCTTTAGCAATAGTATTGCCCCTTTTAAGTCACTTCCGAGACATCTTTTACCAGTGCCTACTGTTCAATGTCTTGACATACCAATGGGCGCACTGATACCTTTAATCCAGAACAAACAGCCTACTGGAAGGTAGCAGATGGGACCTTACTACCAAGATTCATCAGTCCTCACTTTTGAACATTTACCTGGCAAGTGCAAATGTAGTCGCATGCTGTATGCGCGACACGTTTTAGTGTAGTTACAGCAGATCCTTCCATTTACTGTCGAGGATTATCACAACTGCACACAGCAAACAGATTCCCATGTGTCTGTGTGATTCGATTTCTCTCCATGAAGATTATATTCTTACTGTGAACCACCACCACCATAGTGACATGTTGTAAGAGCCAAGAATTTAACTGTAGTCGAACAGCCGTAAGTTGGGTACTTCACAATCATAAGAGTTGCCAGTTAGTAATGTCTCACAGATCCATCTAGTGAGGAGACGTAGCTCTATCAGCTAGTTCATGATGCAGGCTCAGGTGTTTTGCACACCCAGGTATGGATCGATTCTGGGAGAACAACCAGGAATTAAAATACTTTTGGCCACTATGAGTCAACTGACATTCCGAGTATGTTAAAAATGTAGTGTCTGATATGCAGCAAAAGGAAATGTCAAATTGACCTAACCCCCAATCCAAGTGTTTCCCACCACGAAGCGAACCGTGGGAAAGAGATGCCCTTGATTTGTAACCAATTTTAAATGTCCTCCAATGCACAGACGACATGCTGTGTGTTACATTGGTAGAACATTTCACCTGATATTGTGATGTTAAGGTATCTCCCTATCTGCAGATAGGGTTAGCCAAAGAACAGAATGAAATGAGAAGATACTTCGTTGTCCACTGCGAGCCACTATCAACCCAATAGTAAAACCATGGGATGAAGCTTATACCAGATTGTCCAGTGTGGCCATAAATCTGCTTACAAATGCTTCCATTTGATACTGCCACATTATGCAGATGTATGGCGTAGACCAAGCGTTATTACCCTATGAGTTGTAAATAGTTTACTAGCCGTACATACTACTTACAACCCTGATGAATTCGTATGCAACTCGTACCATCTTAGCTCAAGTGTTTTTTTAGAAGAATCTCGTGAAACACTTCAAAAGATCATACGCAGAGATATAAACTAAGTGTCCGAGCAAAACACTCGACAAAGCCGATCCCAAAATCAAATAGTAGAGTCGTAGTATTTATATTCTGATAACTATAACAAAACGTCTGGCAAATTGCCAAAGCATTATCAAAAGTATTGTCGGACCTTATCGAGTTGTAGAAATATCTCTGGAAATAAGATTAGGTATTAGAGAAATTAGATACTGGCAAATTTCAAATAATCGCGCATTTTAGATTATATGAAATATATAAGCGATGTTGAGGATAATGCTACCCAGAACTAATGTGACAGACTGCTTCTGACAGATGCCAACCTGATCCAGTACTCTCGACCTCAGATACATCATCAAATACTCAACCTGAATGTCTTACATCTCCTTGCGTACTCGTACAAGTAATGAGAAACCCGCAATGTAATCCTTTTGTAAATACTCCTTCAGTCTCTCGTCAGTCAAGGCATGTGGTTGAGCGCCTTGTGCAGAGGAATTCAGATCCTGGCTCCAAGAGGATGATTAACCATTCAGCATATGTAAGCCTTACCCCTCGCATAATTGGTTTAAAATGTACATAGTCTGTATATTTATGATGTGCCAGATGAATGAAAATTGTCAAACTGTGTGTTTTGTTATTACTGATCAGTTTGTCCAGAAAAAATTTTTATTTCGTAGTTCAGTTTCCCCATCCCTATTCTGAGAATTAACAGTCTAGATTTGAGTCACCGCAATCTGCCTTTCTGTTTAAACCACTTCTTTGTATATATTTATTCTTTCCGTCAGAATCGTAAGAGCATGACTACAATACGATCGATCAATTCATCCATATTGTACAATGAATTTTTGTCTTCCTTAATAGTTTGGTAATGAATACGCTTAACACCCATTACGTAAATCCGTTTTTTCAAATGGATAACCATCCATTAGTTCTAAGTTAATATGAATTTGTTATTGTATAGAATCAGCCAGATCCGCCTGCGTCAGTCTGTAGTATAGTAGTGTATGTCGGGAACGACATACGTAACATGACCGAGCTGTCAGCATAGTTTGCTGATCCTGTATTCCCAGTATTATATAGGCATAGCAATTAGTATCATCCATGTGCTTTAGGATACGAGATCCCTTGTAGGCCTGTGGCTTGTGTGACGTCACGGATACAGAAGTGTAGGCTCAATACCTCTGCCCCCGGCCTCTACTCGGCTCAGACCATTCGACGGACAGCCAAGGCAGCTGGGCTCCATCCCTCATCTCAGTCTGACAATAATAGTTACCATCCTACAAGTGAGTCTACTTTCAAATTCAGTTCATGAAGGATATAGAAAAGCACTGTTTGGTAATAGAGTTGTGGATGAGTGGTGCACAAAACTCCCGAGTACAGTTATAGATGCTAAAACATTGTGTATTTTTTTGAAAATAGGTTAGATAATGCATGATGGGTGTGTGGTGGGTGTGAGTTGACCTTGAACTAGCTGTGCTACAAGGTCTGATATGCCGTTCACCTTCCTTAATGGAAGTGACCTGACTAGGGGTTCCTTTGGGAAGAATTCGGGGGGGGTGCACAATGTTGTGTTGCTTGGCAGTGGGTCAGTATGTCTTGTTGCAGTGTTCCTTCTGTCATATGTTCTTAAGTATTCATATGTGGTCGAAATTCAGCAGCTTCTAGGATTCCTGATGGCTACGATGATGTCGTGTGAGAAGATTCCGTCATTGCTGTCGAAACTCTGATAACAAACCTGATAGTTTCTCATTCCCAGCTTCTGTATGACCATCTTGGGTAAGAAATCTATCCCATAAAATATAATGAATAATGTTTAAAAAATAAGTTAATAATAATAATTGATAGGCCTTCATTGTTGTCTAATATTTTACTACGCCTAAATTTTTACTTACGCCTGATAATTTAAATTCATAGTATTTTAATTACAACCTCTAAAAAAAGTAGCATAAAAGGATGGCGTAGTACCTGACGTACCTTCTCACTGATGAACGCTGACAAAGAAACCACGTCAGACAAATCGAACACGCTGATAGAGAGGCCAAGTCAAAACTTCCTACATAAATTTTGAACTTCTTTCGTTCTCGAGAGCATCAACGCAAAGACCCGGCAAAATCTTCCATCATTGTCATAGGGCTGGTCATTTTATTTCCTTAAAACAAATTTGGAACTTTACATAAAAGAACCCGCGCCTGAAAGACTAGCCTCAAGAACCATTTTTCCCGCACTTTGGATGGCTTAAATGGCGACACCATTGTAACCTGTAAAAAAAAAATCAATGTTTAATTTTTAGTTCTCAGAAAAAAGGGGTAAATTTCTCTCTCTCCGACGTCTGAGACTTTGACGACATATCATATGATCAGAGGTTAAAGCATCAACCGGAAACCATAATTAAGTTTAACACGACTAAAAATAAACCCTTCTTATTATAATAATATCGTACACATATAACATTTTTTATTTCAAGCGTTTGTATTCAGAATTAGTCTAAATACAAATCTTTAATTAATATTCGTCTGTTAGGATAAACATGAAGATTCGATACAAATGGGAGGTGGACACAAAAAGAAAAGCTAGCATCATGGAGGGTTAGGCGTCCAAAAACCTTGAGGTCCCTGGGGGGGGTTTTTTTCAAGGACTAGACATATTTTATCTTGCCTGAATTAATTCATTCACCGTCTAAATCGACAGGAAGGGACACCACTACTAGTAGACAAGAGAAAGCGGACCTCTTTGCCGAATACTTTGCTACCAAAATGCAAATTCCCAGATCCAGCAAGGGACTCTCCTATTGGCTAGCTGCAAGAACTGATTTCAAAACAGACAGTAGTGACAATAAGGGTCAGGAGGAGGGTGTCATTTCCTTCTTAAAATCGATGAACCAAGAAAAGGCTGTGGGCCCAGACAAGTTGAGCTCAAGATTGCTGAGAAGATGTGCAGACCAGCTAGCAGCACCACTAACCGCATCTTCAGCACTGCCTAGTACAGTGTAAATGGGCCTTCTCTGTGAAAGAGGCAAATGTAGTTCCCTGTTCACAAAAGAAGAGCAAGCCAGAAATCAGCAACTACAGACCATATCACTCCTGTCAGTCCACTGGATAAGATTATTGAGTACAATAATCTCAAGACAAATGACAGAGTTTTTTGACTACCAATCACTACTTTGTGAACCGTCAATATGGCATCAAGGAAGGGTTACTCTGCTGCTGTATCGTTGAACTAAACCTCTCCACTAAGGGCACCAGTCACTGGATGAATCCAAAATTCAGCTGTGTGGTAGCACTGGACTTTGCTGGTGCATTCGACCGGTGTGTCACCAGGGCCTCTTAGCAAAACTTCAAGCACTGGGAATTGCAGGCTCTACGCTAGTCTCCTCAGTGCAAGGCATCTCATGTAGATCTCTAAGGGAGTGTCTCAATGGAAGCGGAATCACCAAGACATCACTATTGGGGCAAGTGTTACACAAGGAACGTGCTGGTACCATTGTTATGGAAATGTGCTGACTTCAATGACATTCTCATCTCATCCCAGAATCCCATGCATATGCAGATGCTCTGTACACTTGACATTCACTAATCCGAAGAGAAGAAAAGGTATGCCAGCTGCTCTAAGCTACATCACTCAACCAGCTAATGAGCTAAATCATTTTAGGGGAAATAGATGTAACAAGTAACATATGACACCTGAGAAAACGCAGAAAATGATGTCTCTAGGCCACATGATTGTAATGCTGGTGCAGTAGTAAGGATGAATGAGTAGGGTGATGGCACCTGGAGAAGTTGATATCCTTGGGGTGAAATTTGACTCCAACCTGACATGTGAAGACCATGTTGTAAATCTGCAAACAAGCAGCTAGGATGCTTACAGCACATCGCCGACTCGCATCTGCTTTGACAGTAGGGGTTGCAAGATTGCGTGACGAGGCAGCAAGTACGGCTCACGACCTTGTGCATGGCTCCACTTTCTTGGTTTGCGCTCCCCCCCCCCCTCACATCAGCGACTGCTTTGACAGAGTAGAGAACAGAGCAGACGTCACACCCCCTCGCCCTGGGACCCATTCCTGATAGATCCTGTCAATTCAGCAGAGCCTTCAAAACAGGAGGGATGTGGTTGCCTTACTGTTATGTACAAATGGCCATATTTTCAAAGTACCAAACACGTTGGATCCACTTCGAGGACAGCGTGAAACAAACTTTTATGTCACAAGTACGGGCAGAAATCAGCACGCGTTCACTCTGGCTGTTACCACTCATCTCAGAACATCACTCCATCTGAGATCATACATACCCAGGATTGACTCGAGTATTGACACATATTCGTACAGCATAATAGATGTCAATGAATAAATCCATGTTGATCTATATGAAAATGCTGGCCCACGAGGCTCCAACTTCATCCTGTTTCCCTTAACTATGTATAGTAATCAATAACAATAAACAATGCTGTTCAAATAGAGACTGATTAGAGTAACAGCTCTTATCTTGCCAGTAAAGTTGGGATCTTACACCATGTTAAATAGCTGTCATTAAAGCTTAGGGATCCTTAACCTGTGTCAAACCCTGGAAAAAAAAAAAAGGGATATCGTTGTTTATATCAGGAACAACCAGCTGCATACCAATGTCTTATTTATCTGTACAAGAAGACTTATTATCTTTGAAAATCCTGCGCCCTCTAGAATTATGAGGGCTTGTTACAGCAACCAATATTTTTTTGTCATGCGGGGGGGTTTTGTTGCCAAATCACTCCTCACTCATTCCTCTGTCTCTCACTCTGTCTCTCATCGTCCTCTCTCTCCACTCGTCTCTATCTTTCCATCTCACATCTCCTCTCTCTCCTCTCCTCTTATTATATATAGCAGGGTTTTAAGTTATAGAAGCGTTAAAGGTTCCTAACGTTATTTACAAGCTAAAAGCTGTTACCTACATCATTGGTGAATCCTTTTAATGTTTATGAAATATACATAAGTGGGAGCAGAATGTTTCCGAGTTAATCATGTGAGTCAGCGATGTTCATTTGGGTCAATGACTTATTTCTTGATGTCATTATTCAGAGTATGAACGTATTCCAGACAGTTTGACATACTAGGAATGAATGATCTCAGATGAAGCGATGTTCCGGAGAAGGGTACCTACTCCAGAGCTTGATGCATTGCAGCCCGTCTTGTTGTGTAGAATTTCCCATCTCGGCTGTCCATCGGGAGTAGAGGCAAATGTGGTAACTTTTACAAGTGTTGGCCTTTATACATAGCAGTAGGCCTCCCCACATACCTCCTGTGTTTGAAGGCTTCTGCTGGAAGATGGCAGACCATCTAACCATGCTGGTCCAGCCGAGAGATGCGCCGCCTTTCTCTGTTTTCTGTACTGTCCAAGAATTTGCAGATGAACAGGGTGGCAAGCAAACTCAAGAAAGCGGAGCTACACTCAATGTGTGACCGTACTATGCCTCAAATACGGAATCTTGTAACCTCTATTGACGAGCAGATGTGATACGTGAAGTGCTGGAAGCTTCCTAGGCACTTTGTTTTCCAAGATTTATAAAGTGGTTTCTTCACGTTCGGTTTTGAGTCAAAAACTTCCTCCCCAAGGAATCAGCTTCATCCAGGCTTTCATTTGTGATGACCAGAACCATCATTTGTGTTTTTCCTTCTACGGGGCAAATTGTCCTGCCCCATAGTTTACTCAACGCTAAAAAGGCAGTAATCTGGTGATTGATGTAATTTTGAGCAACGGCATTTCCTCTCTGGATAAGCAAAAGTCTGAGTACAGTCGACTAGTATATCCATAGGTATAATGGGGAATGAGATGAAGTTATTGAAGTAGCTTATGTCCTAGCAAAGGGCCAAGCTGGCTTCCCCTGTGGCCTCGAGTGCTCCAAATAGTGTCTTGCTAACACTGTTCCGTAGAGAACAACGCGTTTATAGATCTACCTTAAAGGTAATCACTGAGAAAGGCCAGCGATTCCCAGTACTTGTAGTTTGCCCAATTGTCTTCCTGTACCAATCACGGTCAGAAAGCTTCAACCTAATGTCTAGGGCACAACACAGTTGAAATATGGATATCATTAGTTACTGATTACCATAAAGGAAGAGATTTTAACATCAAATCAACAGCAGAGTGACGTTTGTCCTGAAGCCGGATTGACTGTCACAAAAAAAGAGATGTTGTAGTTGAAAAACGCGAGTGATTGACAGAGTGACACTAGTCTGTAGTTTCCTGATTTCCTTTACTACTCTTCTTTTTTGTGAACAGGGACTACGAATGGATCTTTCCAGCAGAGAAGGTCATCACATTGTGCTAGGCAAAGCTTATAGATGCGAGTAATCGTTGCTTCTAGCTGGTCTGCACATGTACTGGCAGCAATCTTTTGGGCTCAACTTTTCTGACCCACAGCCTTTTCCAGGACCAGCAATTTAAGAAGACGCATTTTCATCCTGCTGCATATAGTCCACCAACTGACAACTTTGTCACCGTTCTTGCGATAGCAAAGGAGGTTTCCCTTCAGGATCAGGAAACTTACATCATGGCAGCAAAAGTGTTCGGCGTGCAAAAAATGTCAGCCTTGTGTCTGACTGCTAGGCGAGACGGGTCCCCCCCGTCCTAGTATCTATTTAGAGGGTGGAAATAACTTCATCCGGTGAGAAACTTGTGTGTCTTGAACCAAGAAAAAAGGGAACCACCAGGTTTCGGAAACCCCCACTATCTGCGCCAGCTTTTTTTTTTTATTTAATTTATTTATTGTGTTGTGTTGTGTGTAGTGTGAAGTGTGTGTGGTGGTGGTGTGTGTGTGTGTGTGGTGTGTGTCAGCCTTCTCATATAGATAGGACCCGCTTTTGGACTTATCCAACTTGCCCACATGGCTTGCGGTTCCTGTTATAGATATTGGGATGGCTCCTTATAACTTCTTCTCCCAAGCCTTGTAAATTAGCAGTAACAGCTCACAACGAGAAAGCTGAAATAAGAGCTGATTCTTGTAGGCTTCGTCACATACTGCCCGTGAGGGATGTTTTCTTGTTGGAGATAAATGTATGTTCTATGCGAAAAAGAGTATCCAATCGGAGGTGTTGACCCACAGCAAAGGGCTTACAGCAGTTTCCCTCTTTCCCACAACAAGGTTATGCGTGTAGGCTCTCATCTCGTTCTGTTGGAATCTTCTATGTCGTAAAGACAGCCTGCGGTCAGAAGATCCAACGGAAAAAAGGGGGTAGCCATAGTGGTTGACAAGTGACGATGCCTTCATGTAGATCACACACTACTGAGTTTCA